AGAGGAGTACTTCAAAAGCTCATGTGTGAGACAATGCAAGAATGTTCAGAGGTGAGATGATTAGATTATGAGACCTGTAATTTAACAAGTAGATTAATCCACTAGTATAGATTAACTGGTGGTAACAATAGGCAGGTAGCATATTGCGGGAGGAAATAGGTCACTGGGGCATGCCTTTGGGGTTTATATTTTGTCACTAGTGAATGAACTGTTATATATAACAGTATCTTCACAGTGTTCTTCTTTTCTCATCAATGCTCCAGGATTGCTTTTACTTTCTATTAGAGAACTTCCTATACTAATTATGTCTGCTGTTGACACATTCTTTTAGTTTACCTTCACTGGAGAATGTCTTGATTTCTTCTTCATTCCTAATGGATACTGGGGAGAGGAGTCTAGGTTGACAAGTTTCTTTTAGTGTTTGAAAAATGTGCCACTTCCTTCTGGCTTCCACACCTTCTACTTAGAAACCTACTTTCTTTCTAGTTGTTTTACTGCTGTTCATAATTTATCATTTTTTTCTAGCTGCTTTCAAGATTTTTTGATTATTTACTTTCAAAAGTTTAATTATTCAGGAGGCCAAGGCAGGAGGCTCACAAGTAAAAAGCCAGCCTAAGCCAGGCCCTAAGCAACTTAGCAAGACCCTGTCTCTAAATAAAATATTTTTTAAAAAGGACTGGGGATATGACTCAGTGGTTAAGCGCCCCTGGGTTCAATCTCCTGTACTCCCCCCCAAAAAAAAAATCCAGAAGTTTAGTTATGATATTTCTTAATGTGGATTTCTTTGAGTTTATCCTATTTGAGGTTAACTAAGTTTCTTAAATCTGTAGGTTTATGTCTTGCCAAATTTGAGAGGTTTTAGCTATTATTTCTCCAAAACTTTTTTAGCCCTGCCTTCTTTTCTTCTCTTTATAGAACTCCAACAATACAAATGTTAGATGTTTTTCTCCATAGGTCTCTAAAAATCTGTTCATTTTTTTTCTAAAGTCTGTTTTGTCTCTTGGTCAGTTTGAGTGATTTCTGTTGATCTGCCTTCTAATTCACTGATTATTTATCTGTTCCTTGCATTCTTCTGTTAAGCCTGGTTTCTACTGAGCTTTTAAATTTCAGTTTACTATATTTTTAGTTCTAAAACTTTTATTTGGTTCTTCTTTGTATCTCCTATTTCTTCTGTGTTTTTCATTTGTTTCAATGTGCATTATTACTTATAAAAGCATTTTATAATGGTTTTTTATAATGTTTTGAAAACTGTTTCAGATAATTCTAATATCTTTTGTGGTGGTGTCATCTAATGAATATTTCATTTTTCATCCTGGTTCTTGATTTGATAAGTTATTTTCCATTGAAATTGGGACTTTTAAAATTTGTATTATGAAATTCTGTCTTGTCTTTAAACCTTTTGTTTTATCTGGTGTTCACTCCAGAAGGAGAATTGGGGGTGCTGACTTTTACTAACAGGCAGAGTAAGAAGTCTAGTTCCCCACTCAGCAATCATCAACACCCAAAGTCAGCATGGCTCCTTCCTACTGCTAGGTCAGGGTAGGAGTTCCAACTCCCCATATGGTCTCCACTGATACACCCTAAGTGGGTGGTCTTGTTTCCATTAGGTAATGGTAAGAATTCTGGCTTTCACCAGGCTTCCCCTGATAACACTTAGTTTGGGTGGAGGGATAGCTCATTATTGCCAGATATTGGGATGGAAATTGAGGCTCTCCATTTGGTTTCCATTGACATCATTAGTGAAGGTCTCCTTACTGGCCCTTGGGGATTAAAGTTGTGGCTTTGTAATTGGAATTTTCTCAAATGCCCAAGCAAGGTGATGCCTAAGAGTAGAAGCCTAGACTCCCATTTGGCCTTTACCGGCATGGGTACAGTTGGTGCCATAATGTTTTCTTTAGTATTTAGCTGGAGTATAGGGCAGTTATTTTCTAAAATTTCCTTTTTAGGTTGCCATTTTCTCAGTTCTCTGACTATGAAGGACATTTTTTGAGGGGGTAGGGAGACATTTTTGTCTGGTAAACTGTTAGCATTGCCAGGATGCCAGCTTTTTCAGCTGCAAATCTAGGATATATGAGGCCAAAAGGAATCTCAGAGAAGTTACTACCGTGTCATTCCCTATATTTTTCAGACTCACTAACTGGTCTGTCTTTGTCTATCTTTCAGAGTCATCTTCTATTTGTTTTTATAGTATCCAGGAATTTTAATTGTACTTAATGAGAGAAATGGGAAAATTACTCCATCTTCCCAGAAGGAGAAATTCAATTAATTCCTGACAGAGTTGAAAAATGTAATTTTGTAGAAAAAGAAGAGTCTTTCAACAAACAATGCTAGAAGAATTATATTGTAGTAACCTTTAATCCCTATGATGCAACAAGTATAAAAATTAACTCAAAATGGATCATAGGCCTTAGTTTAATATCTAAAGCTTCTGGAAGAAAACAGAAAAAAAGTCATTGTGACCTTCAGTTAAGTAATGTTTACTTAAATATGACACAAAAAGCACATTTCATAAAAGGAAAAAGATGATAAATTGGATTTCATCATATCAAGGACTTTGCTGTTGGCAAGTAAAAAGATAAGCCATAATCTGGGAGAAAATATTTGCCAAATGGTATTTGATAAAGGGCTTGTATCTAGACTTTACAAAGAACTCTCAGAATTAAGTAATAAAGTAAAATTTAAAATGAAAAGATTTGGACAGCTCACTAAAGATAACATGACAAATGACAAGCACATGAAAAGATGCTCGGCATCATTTTTCATTAAGGAAATATAAATTATAGCTGCAGTGAGATATCTCTCTGTACCTACCAGAATGTCTTAAATTTAAAAAGTTAAAAATGCCAACTGTTCATAAGTTTGTTGAACAACTAGAACTTTCTTAACCACTGCTGGCAATGTAAAATGATGCAACCACTATGGGAAGCAGTTAGTTTCTTCAAAGTTAATCAAGCATACACCTATCATATGGCCATTATTCTACTCCTAGATATTTTCCCAAGAAAAATGAAAGCATATATTTTTACACAACTGTTCATAGAAGCTTTGTCTATAATACCCCCAAACTAGAAACAACCTAGATGGCTTCAACAGGTTCATGGATAAACAAATTGTGGTATGTCTATACAATAGATCTGTTCACAGAAACTGTTCAGTAGTTGCCTGGGGTAGGAAGGGATTACAATGTGGTGCAAAAGTCTGAGAGGAGTAAAGGGGATGTTTGTCTTGATTGTGGTCTCAAGCCTTATCAAATTTTATACTTTAAATATATGCAGTTTATTATATGCCAGTTAATATCTTAATAAAGTAGTAATTATAATGCTTGCCACTGATGGGACACTTATCATATGCCAAAATAGCACTATGTTTTTATACCTTGCTTTCTTTTATCCTCAATAACTTAATGAAGTTAATATGTTCTGTTCCCTTTTTAGCTTGAAACTTGCTTAAGTTCATATAACTAGTAATTCAGTAGGCTACATGCAAAGATCAGTCTGCCTAACTCCAAAGCTGCTCTGCGTGTTGCCTCTCATGCCTGTTTCTCATGATAAATATACAAAAGTTTTAAGTTTGTTAGACATATTTTCTCAGTACATGTCTCTCCTCTAGTAACAAAACTCATAATTGGGAAATAAAAGCTAATTTGAGATAAAAGGAAGTAAAAAAAAATACAAAAGTACTAGTATTCTGATGGAGTCAACAACCTCTGACATACATGTTGGCTTGACCTTCCCTTTAAAGCTCCCAGGCACCCCATTCTTGGTATTTCTAACAGAAGTCACTGAGTAATAGAGTGTCCATTTCATACATCAAAAATCATATTTTTTCTGTTTAAAATAGCTCATGTATAACTAATTAAAAGTAAAAAATAAAATAGCTCATGTGGTGGCACATGCCTGTTATCTCGGTGATTTGGGAGGCTGAGACAGGAGGATCATAAGTTCAAGGACAGCCTCAGCAATTTAGCAAGGCCCTAAGAAACTTAGTGAGACGCTGTTTCAAAAATTTTTAAAAGCTGTAGGTGGGGGGGATGGGGATGTGGCTCATAAAGTGCCCCTGGGTTCAATCTGTAGGACTGAAAAAAAAAAGCTCAGAATCTCTTCTAGCATCTATCACTTGCACCATTTTAGTTTTTCTCTTGTAATGGAGAATTTTTCCAGGCAACTGGCATTCATCAGTTTACTAAATAGCTGCTGGCGTAACTAACAAAACTTGGATACCAGAAACAGAGATGAGTTAGAGATAAGTCACTTCGTTTTGGTTTTGCGATTTGAGTCTGCGCATACATGTTGTCATTTAGTTTTTGTTATTTACTCATTTAATTTATTTATTTTACAGGCTTTGGGATCAAACCCAGGGCCTCACGCATGCTAGGCAAACATTCTACCACTGAGCTACATCCCCAGCCTGATATGTCTTTTTAAATGCTTGCTTTATTCCCTCATCCTGTTTTACTTCCCTTGGCTCTTTTTCATTTTTTTTTTTTTCAAAATTTTGACCAAGCTACCTTTTTCACATCTTTTGCTTATAGCATTTGAGAAAGAGGTGATCAGAATTAGAAAGGAAAACGGGTAACTGAGAACTGGAATTCATTAAACATGGTTCTGGACTTTCACAAATTTTCTTCCCCTTAATATATTTTATATTTGGTCTGGCCATTTTTTCTTTTTTGTTTGTTTGTTTCTCCCCCCCACCCCCCCACTTTTCCTTCACATTTTCTCTAATCTACAGAGTACTTCTCAATGATTTCTATTTTCTTCTTTTTTTTTTCAGTAACTCTTACATGTGTCTTTATATGTTGAAGATATCATCGTATTACCTTTACCAGCTATGAAAAGAAAACACATCTTTGAGGCTTCTGTCATTTGGCTTTACTGCCTGTTCCCATTTCATATGTCTCCATCTATTTAACCAACAACTAAAATTTTAAAATATTTCACATCATATTAATATCGGTAGCTTCATGGTAATCTGATTTTTTCCTTGCCCTCTTCTTACAGGAATAAATGAAGAAGAGGAGAAGAAAAAAGAAAAAAGCAAAGAGAAAATCAAATTGAAAAAAAAAAGAAAAAGGTATTTTATAAATAGCATCTTTAAAAAAGAAAAAAGTAGAACCATGATTCCAGGAAGGATTATAAACCTTTATTTTTGATATATAGTTCAGTTAATTTAATGTTAACATTTTCTTAATAGAAGTTAGATATTCAGTTGTTTCAGTAAAATAGTAAAGTCAGGTAAAGAATCAAAAATAAAGTCAGTACTCATTCACCTTAATTTTTCTTTTTACAACAAATCAAGTTATAAATGTGTGATAACACCTATTCTTTTTTATATTTTATTTATTTATATTTTAAGTTTTAAATTTCAGAATAGTAGCTAAGCTACTTTTCACATTTTATCTTCATAAAGATGAAGTTGGAACTTAAATATTTGAATTCTCATACAATCATTATCATGCCTAAGTAATTAATTTATTAATATAATTTAATAGAATTTGTCAAGCTAAAAATTTTTTCGGGTCTTTCAGAACCTTCATCAACCACCTTCAAATTTTTACTATTATTTTAACAACTAACTGATTAAATAAATTAATCAAAAGTAGTAAAAGGCTACTTCTTCCCTGGTTAATGAATGAGTAGTTTCATTCAGACTAGAATAAATATACACATATAGACACATATACCTTTTCTTTAAAAGCAATTAACCAGTTGACCATAGTTAGGTCTTATTTGGACCTCTCTCAGTAGGTTCTCTATATTTGATGTTGTTACTTTTTAGTGTTTTTTTGTTTTTGTAATTACATGTATTTGAACACTTCGGTGTTGGAAAAGTTAACTCACTTTCAGGTCTTAGGAGTAAATAATAATCTTTAACATAGAAACTGCTAGGAACCGTTTCTGACTATTGTTGACATATTTGTGCCAGCTCAGTAGGGTGAATTGCTTACATGAAACATGAGATTATTCATTGTCTTCTAAGTTCTGATATACTTGTTTTATAATAACAGATTATTTATTCAGGGCTGTCTCTCAAACCTCAGAGATCTTAGGGCCTGAAATTAAAACCTTTATGTAGTTAGAGATAGGGCCACCTTATAATATGCTATGCTAGGCCTAAATTTTTTCCTTAAAAATAAAAATCCAGAACCCAAAATCAAAAGAAAAGAGAGCAAGCAGAGAAGTCATTCTATTCAGAATACAGAAGTCAAGCAGGGTCTTTAAATAGGAAAGTAAACCAAATTTGACAAGAGCAGAGCTGAAAAGGGAGCCAGAGAATACATAAGAAAATAAGCTTAGTAGGTGATCAGAAGTCTAAGGCAGTAGATAGACAAGCAGAAAAGATGCAACATTATAGAAATGAGAGAAACTTTGAGTCACAGAAGTCACTCTGAAGACTGAAGATAGCTTGAAACCCTATAGTCTCATGCATTTAATTTTGTTCCTCTCTTATATTAGTCTCAGTTTGGGTTTTAATTCCTAATAGTTACATCACTGCACTAACTTTTTAGATGCCCGCTTTAATTTAAAATAACTCAATTTCCATCTTGTCATATGTATTTGGGGCTTAGGTCATAAATAGAGTGTTACATACCTCTTTATATAAAATCTTAAAAGATGGCTTTTTTGGTTTTTTTTTCTTTTTCAATATTAGGGAAGCATTTTTTGTTTTGTTTTTCCCAACTTTGTGTTAGTGTGATATTTTAAAAAATGAAGAATAATGATAAATCGTACTCATTTATGTGTATAATGTATTCATTTAAAAGTATCCTTTCTGAAAAAAAATAAATAAATAAAAGTATACTTTCTGTAACTAATGAAAGTTACTTTGTAATCCAAGTATCCGTCTGTATAACTCTGCAACTAAAGGGATCAAGTACATTAACTTGAAAAATTAAAGGAATTATAAAAGTGCTCTTATTGTTCATTTTCAGCTTTTATTCATTCATACTGAGGTATAATTTTAGCCATCTTTTTTATGTATGATAATTGCAGCCTTTTGTGCTCTTTTAAGAGGATATGCTAACAAGTCATTATATACAAATATGATATATATAATACATTATATACAAACACTTGTGTATATAATGAGGCTTGATGAATATAGCTTTGTTTGCCTTATAAATTTTGAAGGGTAGCACAGCCTCCAAACTGAAAATCACAGAAAAAGTAATTTCAACCTTGTTAAATTAAAAACTCATTACTAAAATCAAGCAGAATAGAGATATTAGTTTTTGTCAGTTTTTGTAACCAGGCAGAAAAATAGTTAATTCATCATTTTTGGAGAATACAAAGTACATTTGAGTTTCTTTATGTTTATACTTCCTCTTTACTCCAAGAAGAATTTAAGATAGCTCAAATCCCATTTAAAATTACCTATCAGTAATAAATATGATTTTCAATCAGTGTGTGTTATTGCCCATAGGTCTTATTCCAGTTCCACTGAAGAGGATACTTCAAAACAAAAGAAACAGAAATGTCAGAAGAAAGAAAAGAAAAAAGAAAAAAAGACCAAATCAAAAAAAGGGAAACATCATAAAAAGGAAAAAAAGAAGAGAAAAAAAGAAAAGCATTCTTCTACTTCTTATCGTTCTGAATTCACCAAAAAGTAACTGAAACTTTGGCCTGAGTCACTAAATTTAAAAATTCATTTATAAAAATTATTTGCCCTCCTTAGAATTTGCTGTATGATTATGCTTTGCAATATATCCCAACCTTTTCACATAGACATTTTTCATGTGTAGAACCATTATCCCTCTGGCCATATGTATTAAGTCAGCCTTGTTACTTAGTAGCCATGCCCCAAGTGTAGATATTTGTACATATGAAACATCCTTTTTGACATTTGTGTCTCTGTGTGTTTGGCTAGTGCTATTACTTCTATGTTGATTATGGCTTTACTGCAGTCAATACAAGTAATGTACCTAGTGTTAACTAGTAGTGCTGAATCAAGTGTCTACCTTCCGGTGATAAAGCTGCGGGTAATGATTTGCTCTTGATACTGAATATTTTACTAGCTTTATATACTCTGATATAATGTTTAAAAGTAGTGAAATTCTTCACTATTGTTTTTAGATCTCTGAGCTTTTTAAATATTGTAGGAAATGAAGCTGCTTTACTGATCTTTAGTACTTTTTAAATGAATAGTGTCTGCAGGAAGATGACAATGAAAATATAACAAAAGTTTCATTATTTTATGAAAGGCGGAATTTCTAAAACCTGTCTTCTTTGTTTTTATAACACTTAAAATATTTCTTCTTTGTTTAGAGACTAGTTCAGCCTATTAGAAATCTGGCAGAGATGATGCTGTGTTGGTCAGGATTTTTAGGATAGACTCCTGGGTTGTTTTATAGTTGTGCCATATTGGCATATTTTACAGTGATACCTCAAACACGGAAATTTTATTTAGGAAGACAGCTAAATCTTCATTAGCACTGATTTTTATTGTATTTACTACGTGAATTTTATGAAGCTTGTGTCTATGAGTAATGTGGAAAATTTTTATAAATGTTAGCATTTATATTTCTTTTGTCTGAAATGATTTATAGTTTTGAAGCAAGTTTCACACAGAACTTCTGGTTTCATAAACAACTATTGAGGTGTTTCCCTCTTTTACTTCAGTGACAAATCTCAGTAGCAGTGACAAAAGTTTAGAATTTTATTCTGTACATTTTAAAATGTTAAGAACCAGGGAGTCACATCATGAAAGCCTTTATATAATGATGGAAGTTTTATATGAGTAAGCATTTTCAAACATTTATTATTAGATATAAATGTTTCTTACATTTTTAATTTCACAGTGATCAGTGTTACTTAATTTGCTTAATACTTAGTATCCTTTTATGCTCATTTAGTTAAATACTTATGTTATAACTGCATTGCAAATCATCCTGTCATCATGACATAGCACCAAAGATTGCAAGTACCTCATTGTGGTACACTTCTAAAGAGACGGCTGCAGGTAAATTCATGATGGTGAAATCAGGTAAGTATAATTACTCTCACAGGCTGGAAAGTTTACTGATTCTTCCTTCACCAGCACCTGACCTGGCATGCCCCCAAGTAAGACACAGAAGCCTCATAACTCTTTTCATCCAAGCTCAAGTTCTAGCAAAGTGGTTGGTACACACTACTCTCCTAGCCTTGCAACTATGGAAGCTCTCACACTTCCCAGTTTTCCATAACCTAATTTACTCATTTGGGCTCCTCAGAAATAAATTGTTTAGTTTAAAGAATTAAGAGGAAACACAAAACTATTAGATATTTAAGGGTTTGTTTTGTCTTTGCTTCTCATGTTATAAAATATAATTCATTTGTTATTAAGATTTTTTAAAAGTTTTTTCAAAAGCTTTTAAAAATGATTAGCAGATACTTCATATGAAAGGATGGCCTCATCCCATTGAGAGTATAACATGCTTAACAAGTGACAGTAATCGTAGTGAAACAGTTAATCAAGTTATTTGTTAGTTTTATATATGTGTTTTGTAAAGATTATAAATTACCTCATTGAGTTTTGTTCTCTGAATGGTGGCACAATTAATGACTCAGAAGAGATATATAAAAGTCAGCCCTCATTTACTAGTACAGAAAATAAAAGATTTTAATGGCTTTGTAATTTTTCCTTCAATAATTTTCAGAATTTTTCTTAACTAAATTTCCCATATTAGCATAATTTATAAATTCCATCTGAATGAAAGTCATTTAATTTTTTCTAAAGTAATTTTCTTCTATGATGATCCTATTATTAATGGGGTTCTATACAAATCTCACCTAATATATTTAAGAAGAAAATTCATGAAATTTCCTCCCACATAGAATATAACAGAGGGAAAACTAAATTTAATAGTAACAATTAAGTTCTCGATATTCTACCAACCTGTATAACTGTCAACAGACCTATTTAGCTTTACTGGGCCTTGATTTGATGTCTTTTATAGATAAAATATTGTACTAGATTATCTCTGAAATCTCTTCCAGTCTTTATTTGAGTATCAGTATTTAATCAAAATTCAAGTGATATTCATTTTAGAACTTTATTATAGATAAGCAATCTGCCTTCAGCTTATTAATTCATCTATTATCTAAGCAGATAAATGATATTTGGTTAATTTTCTTCCCATCCAATGTTGTTTTCACCAGATGCAGACAGACTTCATATTTAGATTTGCATTTGTAACCAGATTTTAAGAAGCAGTAAGGCTGTTATTTTTAGGCTGATGGACCTACTCCCACACAGTTTTCCCATTTTTTTTCTTCCATATCATCTGTTGGCTAAAATCTTTCTGAGTTTTCCCCTCCCCCATCCTCAACCCTATCCAGGGCCCAGGACCAAACTCAGGTCCTTGAGCATGCTAGGCAAGCAATCTGCCACTGAACTAAATCCCCAACCCCTCAGAGGTATTTTTAGTTCTTCACACTTAATATATCTCCATTTACATCTTTAGTTCTGTGAGGCCAAAGAATCAATAAATGAGAAGTAAAACAATTAAATGTGTGTCTGTTTCCTGTTTACTTAAAATTGTATAATTAGGTCACCTTCAGTAGTAAACTAAGTGGAAGAGTTGTTAGTAATGTTGATAAAAATGCCATTGATTCCTCTCTTTAACGTTTATTGGATCCCTAGCCTGACGAACATGGTTGAGTAGTGAGGACACAGATAAATTTGCTTCCCTAAAGGAATTCACAGTCTCATTGGTAAGAGAAACATTAGAACACACCATTATATAACAAGTGCAGTAATTGACCTGAATTTATAGAAAGAGAGTATCTAATCTAGTCTGGAGAAATTAAAAGAGGCCACCAAGAGAAAGTAATTCTGAGTTGCATATTGATTGAAGACAATGGTGGGCCCTCTGTCATTTCCCCACAGAGTGGGTACTGTGAACAAATATCATATTCAGAAAAAGCTGAGTTAATGTGCTGTATGTAGGAATTATAATCAAATCTGGTGTTGCTAGTGTGCCATATGTAAGGCAGGAAGCAGTAAAAATTCATACTACCATAGAGTGCTTGCCTCTCATGCATGAGGCCCTGGGTTTGGTCCCCAGGACCACGTAAAAATAAACAAATAAAAAAGAATAATAAAGATATTTTTAAAAAATTGATACTACCATTTTAGATTATTGGTATCAAGAAAAAGAGGTCTTAAAAGAGGTCTCGAGTTCCATGTTTGAGAGTTTGGACTTAAATCTATAAGCAATAAGACAGCATTCAAGTGTTTGAAGGAAGGAAATAACTTATTGGGATTTGGTTTCATTCATTTCATAATCATATTCTATAATCTTTAAAAGATGAAGTTGGTCATCAGAAGGCCACATCGAAAATAATTTTTATGCTTTATTATTTGTATTCTTCTAGACCCACTTTTCTTCCTAAGATCTGATAAATTCTTTATCAAAAATTCCATAGTGACTTTAAGTTATCTAAAAACACATAAAACTCTACTGTATTTTTTATCATCCCCATTTCTAGAATTATGTGTACATATATATTTTCTGAAATGTGTTTGGTTTTTAATTTTAGTTTTTTTTAAAAAAAGACAAAGTTATCACTGTTAATAATAAATCATTTCAAATGTAAAATATATTTTTCAATGTATAGATGGGGCCATAATTTAATAAGACTTCTTGCTTTTGGTATTTTATTTCAATTTATGAAGCACAACTGCTTCTGAGCTACCAGAGACACATACCAGTTAGTTCACTTGAGGAGCCCTGACTCTTCCTCAGGTAACCTGGTGATAAGCTACCTCAGCAGGGAGCATGCAGAGCTCTGCTGATGCTAGTGCTGGGATTCAAACTTTCTGGGCCTTTGGCATCCAAGAACTCCAGTTACCATACCCAGGGGCTTCTGACCTCACTTGTCTCTTCTCAACTATTCTAAAAGTATGCAGAATATCAGGGAAATGGGTGCCTTACCTAGGGCACAACACATGATGCATCCAGCCAGGCCCAGCCTCTGTATGCTTCTCCCACAGGATGGGAGGAGTCGGAGGGACATGAGCACTCTACTGGCCTTGAGTCTAAGTTTCCTGATTCTCATGTCATATGGCATCTGCGCTTGCCCCTGAACAACAAAAGTTGAACTGTATTTGTGCCTTAACTAAACTTTCTCAACCTAGATATTCATCTAAAACAAAATAGTAATATTAATTATTACTTTCTGTGTCAAGATAGCAAATTTCATGTTTTTTTAAAATCAAAGCTATGTAAAGCATTAAAAGCTCAATATGACTTTACAAAAATAATTGAAAATTCTCCACTTTTATGACCTTGTAAAATATAATTTTTATAATGAAATATCTCAGCTTTCAAACTTCACATACACTCTGAGCAATTTTAATATTCCAACCTTGGCAAAGTTGTACTCCTTTTGAATGTGAAATCCAACTCAAACAGTAGGATGTTGTGATAATGATCTGGGACTCTGCTGTCAATATAGCCTCATGTGGGTATTTAAGTTCATTTTAGGTGGCTAATGTACCAGATGGTAAAGCTATAGAAAGAACATTTCTATCATCACAGAAACTTCTCTTGGACGATACTGGTCTAGAAGATAGATATCCATGGTTTTTCATAGAAATTTTGAAAGCCTAATGAGGAAAAGTTTCTGAGCTTTGCATGCTCAAGAACAATAAGGCATTCTTTTGTTATACAAGACCAGAGAAGCTGTGTTCAGTACATTTTGAAAGGCTGGTGTTCTAACTACAGAAATCTTACATACTGCAGCAGATATATACAGAGGAGCTGTCTTGGTTATTCCTTTTTTCTGTTGAATTCCTTTATAAAACCATGTCTGTGTTCTTAAAATAGAAATCACATTTATGGACTTAAAAATAAGTCTTTAAAAACATTTGTAATTTGCCAAATCAAGTGTTATTTCTACATGTTTGGGTGGTAAGTATTAGGTAGAACCAGAGAACTGGTTGGTTTTATTCATTTTAGAGATTTTAGGGAATTTATCAAGCAAAGGGTTTTTGTTATGGTATCCCTTAAAATACAGAAAATACTGCACAGATTATATAATGTGATTTTTTGTTATGTTTTATAAGGAATAATATGTTGTATCTCTAGAAAATCCTCCAAAAGGCATGGGTTGATTTCTAAGAGACTTAAGAACATGCTAGCTCTCATAAATTTATAAGACAATTTCCCCTAACATTTACCTATCCAATTCCATATGTTATAAAAATATTTGCTTATATCAAAAAAGTTGTGAAATGTAGTGATATGACATAAATTTCTCACTGTTCCTCACTGAGATGTTTGTTTATCTGTATTGTCAATACATTCTTATTTCTCCTGAAGAATTAGTATAATTCCATGTAATGCAGAAATATCTTAATTAGAAATAAAAGTAAACTTATGCACATAAATATCAATCAAAACCTTAGAGTTGAATAAATTGAATGACTAAAATGCAGCTGTGTCTTGCTTTGTGAGTGGCAAATATTTGAAAAGCAACATTACGAACTATTGTTTAAAATTCATTTTTATTGCTCTCCAGTGAGCTTTGAAAACAGGATTTTTATTTAATAAGCAATATTAATTTGTATTGTATCCACTTCTTTTTCTTGAATTTTATCTTCAGCTTCATAGAATGTTTCATTTGTAGAATTTGATGCTGCATTTGAATTGAGGGCTTTGGTTTTTCTATTTAGGTTGCCTGTAAACACAAAAAAATTAAATATTTGAAATTATAACATTAAAAATTTTGGCCTAACATTTGTGCTAAAAAAAAATTTATAGCAGTGTTCTAAGCATGATGCCCTGAAAATACTATGTGGATGAGTTAAGAAAGAGTCATTTCAAAGTTGATTTTAAATCATTCTTCTAAAAGTTATGTAAAGGAAATATTCAGTCGCAGGAGTAAAAATTTAATTCCATGCTTACCTTTTTCCTTCATGCTTCTATAATGAAACTACACATTTGATAAGGAGGGAAATATTTCTGGGTTGCTTCATCAAAGTATCTGTCCCTGTCCTATGCATAAACTGAATAATTACTTTAAAATCAATAATTATAATTTGCAACAGTATTACGTCTTTGGATCATAATCAGCTTTGATGTGAATAGTCAAAAATGAGCAAGATAGAGGAATATGGATCTTCGCTAATCAGCAGTTTAACGAACATAACAAAGAAATGGATCATTATTCAATGAACAGTGTTATAAAAGTTGAATGTGGAAATAATGTATGTTTTACCAATACATAAAATTTTAGATAATTAAATAATACATAAATGTGTAAGATGCAATGGAAAAAAATCACAGACATCACTAATGACTTCCCTGTTGCTACATTATCAGTTTAGTTCATCTTCATTTGACCTATTGGTACCATTTGACACAGTTCACTTGGCTTCCAGGATGCCCTTTCTTTGACCACCTGTTACCTATGTCAAACTATGTTCCGTTGATGACCTGCACTAGAGATGCAGTGCTACACAATTCAATTCACTTAAGACATGTTTGTTAAGTATCCTAGGCACTAAAATATAAGCAAACCCTATATCCAACCAGATGTGTGTGTGTATGTGTATACACAATCACCAGGGATTTAACTCAGGGGCACTTGACCACTAAGCCACAGCCTCATTTTGTATTTTATTTAGAGACAAGGTCTCACTGAGTTGTTTAGCACCTTGCTGATGCTGAGGCTGGCTTTGAACTCGCGATCCTCATGTCTCAGCCTCCCGAGCCACTGGACTACAGGCATGTGCCACCACACTCAGCTTTATTGATTATACTTTTGAGATATATCTGTTACTGCTTCTCGCTACCTTTACTACCACCCTTATTCTCTTTTCAGCACAATGCTCTGGGTAATCCTTTAAGAGATAAGGCAGGGGCTGGGGTTGTGGCTCAGTGGTAGAGCACTCACCTAGCTGGTGCAAAGCACTGGGTTCAATCCTCAGTACCACATAAAAATAAATAAAGGTATAAAAATTTTTAAAAAAATAAATAAGTTATGTCTTCTCAGAACTCTCCATTTCTCCTGCGTATTCACAATGGTCCCCATGATCTCATACTCATACTACCAACTCCCCAACTTTGTCTTTTTCTACTCACTACCTAGTTTACTAACCACTTTGATCAAAAATTTCAGGCATGTTCCAGCCATAGAACCTTTGTATTGACTTCACTGTATCAAGTAGCTTTTCCCCAAGCCAATTTGTACAATAATTCCTTTGTCTTCAAGTCCTGACCCAGAAGTTAGAACCTAAACATTTGAAAATTGCAGCCTATATTCCCTCCATCTCCAATCTTCTCTGCCCTTCATTTCCCAAAACACTTATTTTCTAATATAGCTTACTGATTTATTGTTTTATTATATATTGTCTCTCATTACTTAAAATGTAACATGCCAAGGGATGTTTAGCTATTTTGTTCATTCATATATCTCGACATTCATGTCTAGAAAAATGCATGTAGCTGGTATTCAACAAATTTGGTTTAAGTGAAATTAAAAGATTGAAAGTTCACAATAATAAAAACTTTAAAATTGTGGGTGGCAAAAGACAAAATGGAAAACCAACTAAGAAACATTGTTTAGAACAAATGATGCAAGTCTGATATACTAACTCTTACATGTGAATACATAAAACAGTAAAACCTCTTAGTGGATAAAGAAATAGATAATATATGATGGCTCCTAAACATGAAAAACCTGCAATCTTGCTAATTAAAATAGTAAATTTAAAAGGTAAGATGATTTTTCATCTTTCAATTGGGCACAGATTTTTAAAAAGTAATTCTTGATGAAAGGTATAGCATGATGAGAGTGTAAAGCCATACATCTGAAATCTGAAATGCTCCTATCCTGTGATCCAGTTTCATATGAAATTCCCAAGAAAAACATTGAAAATTAGATCAAAAAGTTCTACATATGCACAAAGATGTTCACTAATTATTTTCAATTTTTTAAAAATAGCACCTTAAATTTCCAATAGGGGGATTTTTAACTAAAGGACCATGCATGAGGTCTTATGCAGCCATTTAATTTTAAAAGGTGGCTTCCAAGAAAATGATCAAAGCACAGTGTCAACTGAGAAAGTATGCATCATTATCAACAATATCATAGCAGTCAACATTTAGACTCACAAAGCACCAAGAGCTGACAGCTTAAAACTCTTCAGGGTCATATCTAAACTTGGTTTGGCTATAGATCAGGCCCTGCTTACTTCTCCTGGCTCAACCTCCCCACTGCCATTCTTATACTTGGCATTTCAGTATACACAAGTATTTCCTTGCACTTGCCTGGCATGTAGGCGCAATCTATCTACCTAACTCTCCCCCCGCCACCTTCAGCATTCTAGTGTCCCTTATTCTCCAGCAACCAGACTTTAGAAAATCTGTCCAGACCTGCCTAAGAGGAAGTCCAATGGACAACACTCCCTATTCTATTAGGAAAGTCACTACTAGCTCTTTCCCCTTACTGGGGATTGCACAGGAGTGCTTAACCACTGAGACCTTTCTATTTTTTATTTTGAGACAGGGTCTCACTAAGTTGCTTAGGGCCTCACTAAGTCACTGAGGTTGGCCTGGAACTTGTCATACTCCTGTGTCAGCCTCCAGAGCTGCTGGGATTGCAGGCATACACCAACATGCAGGGCTCAACTAGCCTTTTTTCAATTGTTTTTCTTTGGGTAAGTCTAAGCCTCACTTTAGGTATGTTAATACTTCCTGGCTCTGCTCATTTCAAAACACCTGCTTTCTGTAAGTAAACTGCTTTTTGTAAGTAAAAAATACTTTCCTATAAGTAAACAACTTTCTAGGGTCAAACAGGATTCCCCTACTCTGGGTCAATTCTATGGTTCGTCACTCAAAGGGCAATATTATTTACAAATTTTGAAGGATGATGTCTCCCTGCAGCTCTCAGATTCAGTCCATAGATCTGAAACATGAGTATAGATCTCTGGGGTAGGTATTTAAAATATTGTAAATTTAATATCCAGAGTCTAGAGTAGTATACTGTATGGTTTTATTACATTATTTCTGAACTTTTTTGGTGGTAAAATGTTATTTAATGTTCTACTTCCAAACATCCATCATAATGTCTAACCAATAATTTTAGATTTTTTTAAAGCTAATTTGTTATAGGTACAAGATTCTTTATCCTGAGAAATAGCCCTTTGCCCAATAACAAGCTTTTTAAGATAAATGTAGTAGGGAAAGCTGGCATGAAACTTAGGAACTGGAAAATTCTTGGCTTTTTTTTTTTTTTTTTTACAAAGTAGACTGAAACATACATTAGATTCAAATTTAGTCACTAAACTCTTAAGAATGGAATATATTCTACATAGTGGTCCTTGAAATTATTTATCATAATATTTGAAAACCAAAGTGAACCTTTTCACCAAGATGGTGCCAAAAGAGAAGCTGGAAGCTACTGCCCTTTCCCAAAGCCAAAGCAAAAGTCTTGAAGGCCAAAAAGGCAGAAGGTATCCTTAGTGTCTCTCTCTCTTTCTCTCTCTCTCTCTCTCTCTCTCTCTCTCTCTCTCTCTCACACACACACACACACACACACACACACACACACCACACACACCACACAAAGATACACCACTCACCTTCTAGTGGCCAAAACAACTGCAGATGTGGAGGCTATCCAAATACCCTTGTCTTGGCAGAAAGAAGCTTGATCACTGTGCCATCAAGATCCCCAGCCCCTGAGTGGCTGATGAAGAAGGTGAAGACAACTAGCAACAGCTCAAATAGGTTGTCAAGAAGCTCTGTGACTGATGTGGCCAAGACCAACACCCTGGTCAGGCCTGGTGGAGAGAAGAAGGCCTATATCCCACTGCCTCCTGATGCTTTGAATCTTGCCAACAAAACTGGGATGATCTAAACAGAGTCCAACTGGCTAATTCTAAATATCCACTTTTTCACTATTATTTTAAAAAGAAAAAGACATGAATTAAGATATTTATGGGATTTTTTTTATTTGCTTAGCATTGTTTTTACTCTTCAGTATCATAGCAGGTAAGGATAAAGATTACAACATCTAAATTAGTGTCATACTATCTATGTAGCCTTTGTATCTTATTCTAGCATTTGTTTCAACATCTAAATTTTTAATCTTTTGAAATTCCTGAAAGCCTGAAAAAAATGTAGTGTTTCTTAAGTCAATTCCTTCATTTTTCCTAAGTTTTTATATATACTTATATTCATAATATTTTCATCAGACTTCCAAGTGTTTTTTCCTACTTCGTCAAATGCAGGTTTTTGTCATCACTATTATTTAATGGGAAAAAACCTGAACATAACTTCCTAACCTTGTTACTTGGGGTTTCTCTTAAAGTTGTCTCCATTCTAACAGCTCTCGTCTCCACTATGTATTTCTCTTAACAACTGAACGAATTTCTTGAACCATCTACTGCCCTGTGAGGTTTAAAGATTTTCAAAATACATTCCAGTATTATCAATTTTCCTTCATCTAGTTCTTATAAAGACTCTCACTCCCCAATTCCACTTCCTTATTTACTTGGCTACTGGATCCTTCCAGTATCAGGTACAAAGATAATTTCTTGTTTGACTTCTTAGGCCAAAGCAGTTCTCCCAGCAAAACCAATTTGCTATGCGAACAAGAAAATACTTCTTAAATAAGCATTCAAACATTTTTAGTGTTCACTCTTTTCCTGTAGTTCATAAAAATACTAAAAT